CAAAAGTTAACAGACACTTCGCAGTTAGATTATGGGGACCTGGTTTTCAGAAGGATAGATGGGAAGTCCATATCCTCTTCTGCGCAATGTTCTCCCACAGGGTTTTATGATCATTTGTTGTCCTTAAGACCCTAAAGACAAGAGCAGGTTGCAGGCCATCCCACAAGTGCTCACTATGCAGGTGCCACAGGACAGCCCGGGTCCCAGGAGTAACACTGGGAGCACAGAACTCAGTAAGACAGGTTTCAATGACCCAGGCTGGTAAGCAGCAAGACAGCCCCCATAGCACTCCTGGCATCAAACCAGGCTGCTCCCAGCTTTAGAGTACTTACCCTCCTCTTGGGCACTGCAGCACAGCCAGCAACAGAGGAGGGTACCCAACAGCCCCCCCAGATTCCACGCAAATCAAATAGTGAGCAAAGAACAAAACCCGCAGCCACCCCTTCCCACAGCCTCCCTGTGCGCATTGCTTCCAGTGCCATGGCTATATCCACTTCAGAACATCAGCTAAGTGCATCTGTTTGTCTTTCTGGGCCACCCATCCCCATTCTAAGAGCACACAAGAGGAGGGGTACATGCCAGCAGCTGACAGCCCATGTTATTCATATGACAGAATAATAAGGTTTGGAAGGGATCTCTGGAGATCTAGTCCAAACCCCCTGCCAAGGCAGGACCATCCAGAGAAGGTTATATATATGACAGAGCAAAGCAAACAGTACACTTCAGCCATTGGCTGAAAATGAAATATTCATGTCCTCCTTCTTTAGTAACCACGTGTCTATGAAAATCTGTGTTCGATGCAACATCTTCTTCCTCTTTCAAAAAGTAGTAAGAGAAATCGTCCCTGTATCTAGTTTTACATCCATGTTGAGGGACATCAATGAAAAACAACCTGGTGAGACCACAAGAGAGTGACTGATGATGTTTGCCCAGCCATGGGCTGTTACCTTCGGTTTACATTTTAGGAGTCACACACAGAGACTGGAACTTGCTCTCCTTCTCACACTGAGGTGACCTGGGAAGTTGTCCTGGGTTCAGCAGTAGCAGTCTTTTTTCTCCTTCTTAGTAGCTGGTGCAGTGCTGTGGTTTTGACTTTCAGCCTGGGAACAGTGCTGATAACACCAATGTTTTTAGTTGTTGCTCAGTAATGTTTACTCTGACCAAGGACTTTTTGAGGCTCATGCTCTGCAGGGAGAAGGGGAAGCTGGGAGGAAGCAGAGACAGGACACCTGACCCAAACTGACCAAAAGGGTATTGCATAACACATCATGTCATGCCCAGTATATAAACTGCGGGCAGCTACCCGGAAGGGCTAGGTCACTGCTCAGGTCAGGCTGGGTATTGGTCAGCAGGTGGTGAGCAGTTGTATTCTCTTCCCTTGTTATTTCCTTTATCATTATTATTGGTGGCAGCAGCAGTGATTTGTGTTATACCTTAGTTACTGAACTGTTCTTATCTCAGCCCGTCGGAATTACATTCTTTTTATTCTCCGCCCCACACCTCTGGGAGCGGGGGGAGGAAGGGAGGGAGTGAGCGAGTGGCTGCGTGATTCTGGGTTGCTGGCTGTGCTTAAACCACGACAGAAGTGCCAGGCCCCTTGCACCCTGCACAGGGGCTGGACACGAGCCCTGTGGCAACTCAGCTCTTTTTAATCCAATTACTGATTTGTGTGTGTGAAACTTCACCAACAGTGACACGTTCCAAGGTCATTTACATATAAGAAGCATGGAAACACTAGTCATACTGAACTGCGAACATCACGCCCCTTTCCTGGGACAGGGCTGCAATGGTCTCGGCAGCACCACCACACATCTTCATGGGCTTTAAAAAGAAACCTTAGTGCAAAGGCAAAGGAGACAATACAAAGGGAGATGCAAGCAGGTAACAGGAGATGCATAGAGGACAACAAACCACACAGAGAAGATATATTACAAAGAAGTACAATGTTCAAGGACATACATTCACCCGCAAAGAGGGGCTCCAGCTGCACAATTTCTGGTCCCCAGGCCCTGTGGGAACTCTGGGAAAGGCAAACCCTAGTGCACCCCAAGGGGCGGAGAGACATCCCCCACCTCCTGTGCACCTCTGGCCAAAGCACATCTAAGAATCACAGAATCCCAGACTGGTTTAGTGTTGGAAGGGCCCTTAAAGCTTATCCAGTTCCAGCCCCCTGCCACAGGCAGGGACACCTTCCCCTAGACCAGGTTGCTCCAAGCCCCATCCAACCTGGCCTTGAACACTGGCAGGGATGGGGCAGCCACAGTTTCTCTGGGCACCCTGTGCCAGTGCCTCAGCACTTCCAACTTCTGCCTAAGAGTTCATCTCAGTCTCCCCTCTGGCAGGTTAAAGCCATTCCCCTTGTCCTGCCCCTACAGGCCCTTGTCCAAAGCCCCTCTCCAGGTTTCTTGTCAGCCCTGGATCTGCTGGAGTCACGGGAGCTGCTCTAAGGTCTTCCAGAGCCTTCTCCAGGCTGAACAACCCCAACTCTCTCAGCCTGTCTTCATAGGAGAGGTGTTCCAGCCCTCTGATCATCTTCATGGCTCTCCTCTGGAAGGAACATGTTCACCTTAGTCCCGGCACATGTGGTATTGGGAGGGCACCCATGGAATCAGGACTGCAGCACTGAGCCACTGAATCACAGGCAGTGATGTGACAACAGGGTGACTGGGACATGGTGAAGATCTCTGGTAGTTGTAGGGGCTTTTGTAAACTGCTTCATCGTGTGCAATGTCAAGATGTCATCACATAGAGTGGCTGGGAAAATGATCTTGGGAGGCCTGGCCCTCAGTGCTTTGGTTGTTAGTCAGTTTTTTGGGTATAGATACAAAGGAAGGCAGTAAGGACAAGAAGCCCTGGAGAAGGTCACCTACAGAAAACCGATATCCTAGAAGGTTCAACAATAGAAAAACCATTTACCTGAACACAGGAAGCACAAAAAGAAATAGACCAAGAAACATTTTAGCTTAACTTCTGCCTGAAATGACTCACTGGTCTTAACCAGCAAGGACAGAATGAATATCCACATCTGAAAAAATAGGTGATGATGAAGCTGGAGTGGGATAAAGCAAGACTTATGAGCTAGGTCCCAACACACACACAGTTCAGAGGGAGTTTTCCACCTGCATAAAATTTGAGAAGTCAGTCATATAATTACTGTGAAAAAAAAGAAAAAAAAAGAATCATTTTTCATCCTGTGGTAAAAGAAATTAGAGGAAAACCAAATACCTTTAATAATTTCAAAACATTGCACTTTGTCATCAATCTCCATTTGCCATAATGAGCCTAGCAGGAGGTTCAAAAGCTGCAGTGGGTCAAAAATGGGCTTCAGGGATGCTGGGCATTTCAGAAACATGGTTCAAAATGCATGAGATCATGTCTGTCTCAGCTTTAACCATATTTTACTATGAAATCTATTCTAAAGTGGAGACCACATGCATGAACACATATATGTATACATACACATGTATAGAGTGCACGTGTGTTCATATACACACACACAAAGGTATCTGATGTCAAAGGTAATGGAGTCTAATAGCTATACAAGGTTTGATTTTATATCTAATATTTACGTATTTCATTATATAAGGTTTCCTCTCAAGAAGCAGACTGGTTTGCCATGTTAAATAAAGGAATGAAACATAGAAAAAATCATTCCACTGGAAAACTATGTGATACTAAACCCACGTTTATCTTATCCTCAAATGTACTGAAGCTTCTTTAAATGTATCTTTGTAGCAACCAAACTAGCCATAAATTAGTCATGATGATATTGCAGCTGAATTTAATTTCAAAGACTCTCAGCAAGTTGTTAAGGGTTTCTTGCCTAGGTCACTCCTGAGAAAATTCAAAAACTCTGGTATGATTTATGAATATTGCTGTATTATTGGTGTATAAAAAGATAGGGGGAATACAAGCGCATAAACCTCTGTTTAATCCCGTTCCAATAAAAATTTCATTTCTTATAGCAAAATAAACATGTAAATCAATGTTTAATGATTTTGTTGTTTTATTACATAACTTATAATTTGCCTTTAAACATCCAAGCCAAGAAAAATCTGAGACCCTGCTCGTTTTTGCTGAAACATAATTAGGTACCAATTAGACCTATTCTGCAGAGGTCACTTTCTTGAATGGTATTCATAATGCAATGTAAGAGAAGAAAGTCCAGGAACAAAAGGCTTAGCTTCTCCTTTCCCGCATGTACAAATATATTAGGCCTATTGTTAATCAGTTTTTCAATGTGAACATTTTTTTTCCCTGAAATTTACTCAACTAAGGGATAATTAGATTCCTAAAATTACTATACCAGCAGTGTTCAATTTCAGAGATGCTGGACCTCCAGACTTGTTGCATGAGACACACAGACATACAACTCCTGTTCCTCATCATGTAGTCTCTCCCCATATTTGGGAAATAGTCCCATCTGTATTAATCCCTTTCCATTAATGGCAAATGGCCAATCACTTACTGAAGATCCATCTCTCCTTTAAGAAACTGAAGTCCATGGGACTTGCAGAAGTAGGAACATGGTGACATTTCTGCAGGATCTGGCTATTGCTGTCTGTAAGTACCATGCCCTGACAGCTTTCACAATAAAATGCAACGAAAATGTCCCTTATACTGATGAATGAGTAACATCCTAAATTAGGATAATTTCTAATTTATTATAGGTGCACATATACTAGTTTCTCAGAAATACTGCCCACATTTCTCAATCACATGGAGTCAGTAATTCCCAGGCTTAAATGGGTTTCCTCTTGGACGTACTGCTTGACCTGAGGTGAGTCACTTAATCTTTCTATTTTGCTGTCTATAAAAGTATGATAATATTGGCTCACATCACCTGCTGAATAAGGCAATATTCAACACAAATAGCCAATGTGAGATTAATATTTCTAAAGTACTCTTGCTGAAAAATGCTGTCAGTCCAAAGTGTATGCTATTATAATTGATGTATACAATAGAAATCAGGCGGCTAAGCATATATTCTTGTGCCAGCTTTTATTTCTGCTACTTGACTTCAAATGTACATGTCCAGTAGAAAAGAAATTTGAAAATTAAAGTGTCCTTGAAACTAGACTAGAAACTTCCAACCAATGGGAAATGCCCATCAATACCTCCCTGGGGCAACTACCAGTTTTTTCCCCAGCTGCCTCTCATTTTCTTGCTTCATGTGCCAAAATCCACAATTCAGGGTTTTGACTCAGGATGTGTGCCAAAGCCACACACCTGATGATGGCAGAGCAAGAGGTGGTAACAATCCTGCCACTTCTGCACAGCCCTCATGCCATGCCTGCCAATGATCCATGCTAAAGCCCACTTGCCAATGACTTAAAACACACAACTATTCTCTTTGGCTGGAAATTCCCAGAAAAAGGGTGACTGTCCCATCTCATGCTAATCTCCTTGTCAGAGGTGAGCACTATCTACCTCCTGCCAAAGTCCTGTACAAACTTTAATGCAGTATCTTCTGCTACAGAGCAGGAGGAGCAATCAACTTTTCAGTACTGCTGGGAGAGCAGAAAAATATTTTCTATTTTAATCTATAAAGTCATCACAGAAGGCTGAAATTTTAGAAAGAATGAGACTGCACTTACACGAAATACCTGCTGCCTTGAATCTCCTCCCTCTGTCTTCTATGTCTCTTTAGTTCTATCTTTCTCCCATCTGGAAAATGACCTGAACATTTTGGGCACTATCAAGAGGAAGAAACAGCCCATGTGGTGTTCAGTTACAGCTGGTCCAAGCCATTTTTGAAAAGTAAGTTACTCTGCTCTCAGTGTTGGGCACAAAGGGGAACAGTGGATGAAGCAAGGTTTGAGTTTGGTCTTTTTCCAACTCCACATTTCCCCAGGGAATTCCTCCAAATTTCTCAGAATCCACCCAAGCAATGTCATGGTGCAGTTGCACTACATTATACCAACTGAACATGTGTCCCCACTGCTTTCCAGGTTCGTACACCTTTGAGTAAAGGATTACAGCAGCATTACTGAGCTGCTTTGGCTGAAGCGTGGGCCAATTTGATTGCATGCTCTTTTATTATGTAGATGAAAAAACATGGGCATTTAGCTTTCTATAAAGTGAATGAGGCACCCCCCCCCCCCGTAACACAGCCTGGAAATAAAAAGCCCTAAAGTTGCAGAAAATGTCAACTCCAAGAAATGCGGTGGGTGTAAAAACCACAAATTAAGCTTTACGTTCATATACAGCATCTTCATTTGTTCTGAACAATGCTCAATGGTGAGAACCAGGACCCCCCCATGAGGCTGCCTCCCACTGTGGACATGCCTCCCATTCCCAGGGCTGGGCAGCAGCCATCTCTTCCCACAGATGCCACTTCCCATGGTCATCCCTGCAAAGCCACAGCCTGTTCTGCATAGCACCAGGGAGGAGTTCTGCTTCCTCTTTGCAAAGCCCTTTCCAGCAGGATAGAGGCAGTCTTGCTCCAAAACCTGAGGGTACATCACTAGGTAGTGTGTGAACAGGTACCAGACCAGGTCATAGGATATGCTTTTACCTTTGCACTGCAGAAATTTGTTGGGAGCTGTAGAAGCCAATGGCTCGCTCCAGATCTAGTCAAGGACTGGGGTTAGTTCATCAGTCTTCAGCCAGACTAAATGACATTCCCCCAGCTGAAGGGGTGAGACAATGATTAATCCTTGTTAACTTATCAGAAGCTGGAAGAGGACAGAAAATGTCAGCAGTGTTGCTAATATTTGCATAATGCCATTCATTAAAAATCCACTGAAATTTGACACTGAAATTCAACTTCCAGATGAAAAAAAGAAATCAAATTTGACCAACATAGATTTTTGGGTTGGGTTTTTTTTGAGCAAAAGACTTTTGACAAACCTGAGGAACAAAAATACAGAATCTATTCAACATGAACATCCTCAGCTCTGCAAAGCCTCTGTAGCAGCTGAAGATATTGCAGATGTTATAATGTACAGAATGCATTACAGGGAAAGTGCTTTTAGAACAGGCTGTGTTTTAATACATACAGTAGAAGCATTAGAAACTATTTCAAAAAGAAAGGCTTTATAAATATTTGTGTTTATGCAATTTTTGTACAACCTTATGAATCAAGTGAGTGGAAATGAAGATGACTATACAAACTATATGTTCTATGTCTTATGCTGTTTTGGAAGTTAACCTAGATGCTATTACACCTTGCAGAGATGACAACTATGTATTAGGACTTATAATCTTCAGTCCTGTCAGATGACATTCTAAAAATCAGTTGCGCCATGGTATTTGTGAAAAGGAAATGCTTGCCCACCTACCTTCATGCCTTTCTCAGAGAGGCTGCATGCAAATGCACTTAAATCTTTCAGCTGAGATTCAAACAGTTAGAAGGAGCTACTGAATTCCTGGCAACATGAGCTGTCGTTGAACTAATATGAACTTCATGCAGATTTCTGTGGTTGCCAGAATTGCCGGTTGGGGTGAATTTGTAGTAACAGGTTTGTCGGAGACCTGCCAAGGGAGTCTGCCTTTTCCTGGGCTTGCTCTGAAGTCAGGACACACTTGCACAGCTCAGCTATAAGCTTTCAGCTGGAGAGGAGGCAGAGAGGAACCCAACAGCAGCTGAATGTCAGGATAATCCCAGAGTAAAGTCAAACCTTCAGCGAAAGGCTGAAAGTGGAAAGTTTACTGAGGCCCAGAATGGGTCTAAGCCCATCTCATCTGGGTTGAGGAAGTTGTGGACTCAGGAGAGATGAAAGCATATGGCTTGCTTGTTTTAATGACCATCTGGCTGCCTGTAGCCAGAAAGGCATCTCCACCCCTAAATGAGAAGACCCACCTCCTTGGAGTCACACACGTGGAGCTCAGCTCCCACCAGGCAGCAGCTCAGACCATCCCTCCATCCCTGCCTACTTGACCACCATCCCAGCAGTGAGGAAAGTTTTAGAAGGAGAAACCACACCTTAATGGAGTTAAAAACCAAAGAAAAGCCCAGCAGGACAAACTTCATCAGATGCACAACTGAGTCCACAAAGTACATCACAGCTCTCGCAAACTTTGTCTCCGCAAAGACAGTATCTGGTCTTATCTCATTTTCAGCTGTCTCAAGTAAAGAAGCTGTCGCTGTTCCCTTAAGAAAGTTCACGGGAACAACTTTCACATTGTTCCCTTCCAGTTCACGATCAGGAAGATTTCCCTGATATTCCGCCAAGAGTTGGATAACAACTGGCTGATGAAACAAATAACAAGATCAGGCCAGAAAGAAGAGAGGAAATATTTAAAGGAGGAAAGGGACAAATGAGTCTTCAGAGAATACTGAACTACAGAGAATGTGCTGAGCTTATGTCTGGTATATTTTGCTTCATTTCCAGGCATTTGTGCCATGTATGATTTCTATAAAGAGACAGATTCCAACTTAGGGTGAAAAAACCAAAAAGGATCAGTTCCTTCTGTCCCTGATCTCTCTGGACAGAGGATTCCCTCCACTGCTGGAATGGTCCACAGACCTCAGCCAGCACCTTTGGGTCAAGAGCTGTACTTCTCTTTAGGAGCTGAACAATGGTTACTGCATGGAGAGAACTGGCCAAACCTCCAAAGACAAAGTCACCCAGCAGATGCTCTGAAGGCAGCAAGCCTTTCAGTGTCCCCAGCACAGGGTCTCACAGAGAGGCGGTGCCATCACTGTTGTCAGGCACTCCAAGAAAGCGAGCGTATTGCTGGCAGTGACCAGACAGTCCAGACTTGACAGTGGGGAGGACTCTGGAGGAGTTCAGCAAGAAAATCTAGCAGGAACGAGGGGAAAAAAGACAAAGACAAGAAAAAAAGAAAATTATGGAAAACAGTGTACGACAAAAAATTGACCCCATTCTGTGTAAAATTTGTATGTAAATAATAATAAAATAATGCTCATTTACAGAAACATTATGAACAACCAGTGGCTGCTTATTAGCAGCACCTTCCTAGGACCACTTCCCACATCTGTGTTTCCTATCAAGACTGAGTAACAGCCTCTGGAGCACACGCTGTTCTGTGTGTATATACCCAGTGACTGGGAAAATCAGAACTGTTACACAAGTATTGGGAAACAATTCTCTAGATAAGCTGTGCATGTATTCACAAGTAAAACATGCAGCCATATGAGTCCACACACACAAAACACTCAATCTGTACGTGCAAAATAGGAGCTTGAGGCAGGTCAGCACTTAGAGACCAGGCTCTGAACTGACACCACCAATCCATCGGAGCTGTCACTGCTAAATGACAGTGTAAGAACAGCCTTCCAAGAAAAGCCCTGTCTCAATTTCTGCTTGAGCTGGTTTCACCAGCCTTCCACAAGTCCCTCATCTGTGAATCCCGAATATAACTCAGATAAGAATGCTTTTATTCTGACCATCTAATGCTTCATTCAGGGAAGCTCAGGTGATATTACGCCCTATAAACAGTCACATTTCTACCCCCTATTAACAAAAGTCACCTAGAAAGTTAAACACTTTATCAGCAGCAGAGTATTTTTCTGTTGCAGTGTTGGTAACAAGGGAAAGATTCAATCTCACACATATAAATGGAAACTTCAGGTCACAAATGCCAGCTGATTATCAGTTGTATTTTTCTACAGTGCAAACTGACAGTAAACACTGGCAAAATGCCATGGGTTTACAGCTTACTAAACATTTGTATTTTATTATATATATGATATATACAAATATAATATATATTAAACCATTATAGCTTATTAAACCAGTTCACTGTGATTCGCTGTTTCTGTGCAGTGATTTTTTTCCTGGGTTAACAATACCCATATCAATTGCATGGGTGTGGTTCAGATCAAGAACATGTGCTGCTAGCTGGAAAATTGCTTTTGACCTCTGGTTTTCCTTCTCTCTTTTCAGGTTTTGTTTTCTCTTAAGTTTAAAGGCACTTTCATTAAAGACGTTATCTCCTTTCTCTGGCAGGCTCAATCAATAGCCTCTAAAAACCAGTGAGAGCCTTTCCATTAATTTAGTGGGGCTTTACGTTAGACTTGCAATTAGAAACAGTAAGTGTGGAAGTATAAAGAAACTGAAGATAAAGGAGGGGGAGCAGGAGGTAGAAAAGTTTCATGAACATTTACAAACCTCTAAGGTTTCATTTGGCCTTACGTTAAGTTTAGGTCAAAGGTTTGGGTCAGCTTTTGTTCTCCTCAATCCCCATTTTCCCTGATCTTCTTTTCCAGAGTGGGAATCCTGACAAATGCACTGTGAAAAGGGAAAAATTGGTCTGAAAAGCTGGACTCGGGACCTGCTAGAAGCAGAATGATGAGGCAATGGCTTTGCAGTTTGTTTTTATGTCACAGAGACTGCAATTCCCTCAGATAAAGTAGCACTGTTTGACTGAGCCCTGCACATATTTTAGAGAGACATAACTAGAGGTCCACATTACAATTAATGCTCTTGCTTGGTATCTGCCTCCTGCAACTCACCCCACTGGTGACAAACAACAATGCTGAGTTTCAGAACAGTGCCATGCTCTGAGGCAGAAGCAATGGATGGGTTTGCTACTTGTAAAACTGCTCACTTGAGGACAGTATTTTGTTGACCAGTGGCAAAACACAAGAGTCTCCCACAGGGAGATGGATCACTTGTCCTCCAAAGGTTACAGGGCTCCAGGATGGCAAAACCACCATCCCTGCCAGTTGCTTTGCATTGACAGGAGCAGGGTGAGGCAGCAAGGAGTTTGGCATTCCTGACAGAGATACAAGGAAGACAAATCCATGAGGAGAAATAGTATCTTCAGGTTAATTGATTTTAATTTTTCTTTAATTTCTAGATGACAGAGTGGGAAAATCAGCACAGCCTACTGGCGCATCTTGCAGCTAACTTTAAAGGTAAGTACAAGTTGAAAACAATTACTGAATTTAACTGTATTATATTAATCAGTTGGACAATTTGAGAGTTGGGAATAGAGGACAGCTGGTACCTGGAGAGGAAAGGAGGATGTTAGCAAGCAGAGGTGATAAAATCACTAGCCCTGGGGGACAGGAGGAGAAACAGACAGCTCTCAGCTCTGGAGCAGCCACAACACAGTGCCTTCTGCTTCATCCCTTGCTTCCTGCTTCAGCCTTACAGCCCCGTTCATCCCCACCTCAGCGTGAGTGTTTGCAAGGCCACTCTGTAACCCAGCCCACAGAGAGCTGGGTTAACACCAAAACCTTCTGCACGGCTTGGATGCAGGCTTACAGGGTGGGGCTGGCACACTACACACACTTTGGCTCAAATTCATCCTGTAAAGTATTTAACCACAGACTAAGAATCCTTTTCCAGGAAGCAGAGAGAGATGGGCACCCTCAGGGAAATCCCTGCTGCTGGAGACATCATTTTGCTCTCATGCCACTGGCTATGGAGGGAGCCCGGGACAGGTCACCGTGCTCGGTACAGCAGTCTGGTCCCTCAGCCTCTGTTCAGAATCTTTCCTGACTCTGCACTGGGCGAGCGACCATGATGTGACCACAGAAGAACAAATAGAGACAAAAATGGGTTTCTGACCTACTTCTTGGCAGCAAGAAGCAGCAAGAGCAGCTGCCAGAGCCGAGAGGGAATAGATCAGAACCACAAACCGCACGGATGGGTTGGTGAGCTGGGAATAACATTGCTTCTTCAAGCTGGCTTTTGCAGCTTTCCTGTTTAAGCTCTTTCTCTCTTTCTTCATCCTTGATACACAGACCTGGATGACTTCCCCCCGTTAGTTTCTTTTTATGTCACATTTTCTCTGTGTTTATATGAAACAACATTATTTGCCATGGATTTGAAGGCAGCTCAGGATGTATTTGCTGTCTCGTGACATCTATTTTGGAAACAGCATTTAGGAAACATTTTCAGCCATGAATATTTGAAGATTATTATATTGAACTCACTTTCAAATGAGACTTTTTGCATCCCAAGGGAATTTACTGCAAACCTTTATATTAGCCTTTTCCCTTTCTGATTTCAGACATACCGCGGATTTATGTTATTACTTTTCATTAATAGCAAGTCGTTTTTACGCTAGCAGGCGTGTTCAGTGATATCTGAGCAACAGAAAATACCTATTCCTTGAAGGAGTTTTCTCTAGATAATTTTTAATTTGTATTTCTAGATTATGTTTTTAATTATCAATATTCAGTAGTGATTCATCTTCCACAGAAACATTTAATATATTTTCTTTATAGAAACCCAAATTATTTCCTCATGAGGGCTAAGCTGGCTTTATGGGACAAGCAGCCCTAAATACAGTTTTTACTCTTGTTTTCTCCCATGAGATGGTTTATACCAGCTTGGCTGAAGCCTTGCTCGCACCAGAGGGACCAGATGCTGTACACTGCAAGCATCCAAGCAGCCTCCTTGTAATCAATTAGTAAGATGAGATAATTTAAAAGAAAATATTTCCTTTGTTCCATACAAATAACATTTTCATTACTCATTTCAATTGGCTAAACAGCAAAGCTAAAGCTTTTTCTTAATAAAAAGCGTACAGTCTTAAAGCAAACGTAAAGATGTTGGAGATATTCTTTCTGGTAAAGGATACAGCAGAACTAATGGGGAGTTTTATCTTTGGGTCACAGATAATACTTAGGGCAAAATGGGGAACTCTTTTTGAAACTCCTCTAAGAAAAATAGCCCGTTATCTCTGCTGACTGACTCCAAAGAAAATCAACTGCAATTTTACCCAATATGTCCCGTTTGGTCCCTGTTCATGCCTGGGAAGGTACATTTCCCTCAAAGTCAGCCTGTTGCTACCACATCCTCCTGTCTTGGAGTAGCAGAAGTCCAAGAGGTTTCTCTCTGATGTGTTGCCAGGATGCTCCTTACATCCGTTCTTACGCAGGACAGGTCTCGGCAAACTCAGCAAGATACATTAAACTCCCTTTGCACAGAGCAATCTTTTTCCATTACAGAAAATCAGGGAAAGAGGAGGCAGCCCTCCTTTTGTTGAGGATCACAATTCTTGGGTGTCCTACAGACACGGCTGTTCAGGGTACACCTAA